ACATCTATCTCTACACAGGACTCTGTTGTAAAAAAGTATTTATCAAATTCTTGACGCTTTACAGAATATATATGATAATATTTATTTATCTCACCTGCTGGGTTTACGGTTTTACACTCCTGGAAGATTTGTATGTCTATCTCGTTATAGTAGGATTTATGCAAGGGGTTAAACAGTGCTTTATTGAAATCGTACATTGCTTTAGACATTCTATTATAAATATTCTCTGTCCTAACACAGATAGAACCATCAATGGAGTTTGTTACAAGGTTCTGCGTTTTGACCTTGTACTTGATGAGTCTTTTCTTGATATAAAAACGAAAATTCAACTCAGACACGATGCACCCACTGAACTTAACCTGTGGTTCATAACCTGCCTGTTTGGATTCATAAAACAACTTCGTTAAATCATTTCCGTCATATATTAGGGTATATTGGTCTTCCTCTGTGTGTTTTCTGATATCGTCCAAAGATGCTATCATTTTACACTCAACTGGTGTGGACTTCTCATTTAAATGGTAATCCGACGAAGCCTTCACGTAAATGTCATAATTGGAATTCTTTGGTAACATTTGCTTCAAGGAACTTAAATTATCATTCACCGTGTAAATGTGGTTGTTCTTGATTATTGCATACAGTGTTTGTATGTGATGGTCGCGCTTCTCTGGGTCGTACTGATACACCAGATTATTAAAAACATCATATACCCTAACTTGAATATTATAGTGTTCAAAAACCTTGGTCATATCGTCAAGACTAGCACCGTTGGTTGTGAAATCATCTTCTGTTTTATTTATGAGGTTTAAAATACTTTCTCTAGTTAATTTGTTCTTCTCTCTCTTCTTGTCACCCATAAGGGTATTTTTATAATAATCCGTTAAAGTATTAATCCAGCACAGGTTGTCTTGATAATGTTCAACTTTAATGGCTTCCTTTAGTGTCTCGTACTCTGGGTTCAAAGGAGTCTGAATATAATTATGATACATGCTCACATTAGTCGCATCTCTAAGGTTCTCGTGCTTTGGATTAAAATCTGAATCACCATCTACCCTATCAACTTCATATACTTTAACACAATCTATATAATCTATCACGAAGCCGATGACTCCCAATATGGACGGGTCTCTTTGTAAGTCCAATAGTAATTTTGTGAAAAGCCTCTTGTCGTACTCCCCAAACACTTTTCTACCAACAAGGTTTTCAACATACGATGTGGTGTTAACGCTTGCTGTTTGCCTTATAGCTTCTACTGTGATCAATGGTACTAAAGGCTTACCTGCTTTGTCATAAAATGCTGTTTTCTGTGTGCTGGATTCCGATTTGTATCTAAAAAACGCCACTATCATTGAATAGTCATGTTTTTTTCTAGGGTTGGTTCTTCCAGTTCTCTTGTTCTCTTTCTTTGTTTCCTCCATTCTTTCGCCTAGACTGGGTTTATCCTTATGTTTGTCATAAATCTTATTGTATTCCTTTTCTGCCTTTTCTTTGTCCTTTGGTGTCTTGGATGTGATAAATTTTCTTATTAAATTGTCGGCTGTTGTAAACTGAGCTATCTTGCGTTCAGAATATAAGTCTATGATGTTTCTGACTTTTTCCTTGGTTGCTTTGTTAAAGCGTTTTTTGTAATTGTCGTACACTGCTTCTAAAGCAGTGATATTTCTCTGTATAGCTTTGGTCATAAATTACAATATATATTAATTTTATAATAAAAATATTTCTTTAAATGTATTTTTCTGAAGACTTTTTTTAGACTGATTGAAAATCAAATAAGATTATAGTGTTAAGAAAAAGCACTTAAAGAAATATTATTTATATATATTAATAGTGAAATGACAAAACCTGAAGACATGACAATAGACGAAATCCGTGAGCAACTGGCGTTGTACAATAGGCTATATTATAATAAACGGCGTGAAGACAAAGAGTATTTAGATAAGAAAAGGGCTTCAAGAGATAAGTATCTGGAGAAAAAAAAGATGGAAAAGTACATAGCCGAAAATGGTATAGATATTTCAGTCGTGAAGTTGACACCAGAACAGAAGGCAGAAGCACTAGCAAGTAAAAAGAAAGGAACTAAATACACGATGAAAAACTGCAAGGTGATAACAGTGATTCCTGAGGAAGAGCCAGAAGAAGAGAAATAATAATTTTTGAAAAAATATTATTATTTTTCTTACTTATTTATATGAGCGAGAAGCAGAAAATAATTAATGATGTTTATTTTGATAGAAGCGGGTTCGGTTCTAAGGCTACCACGTTGAAAGATGCAAGGGCCAAAGATAAAACGATTACAATGGCTGATGTTGAGGATTTTTTCAAGAAAAATGTGGAAGAGAAAAGGAAACCGAGAGGTCAAAATAGTTTTGTAGCACCGCATCCGTATTTTGAGTTTCAACTTGATTTGTTTTTCATATCTAGCAACGACTTAGAAAACCAAAAGTTCAGAATAGGTTTAGTGCTTATTGACATATTCACTAAATATGCAACTGTTATACCAATTAAGAGCAAACAGCCACCAGATGTTTTAGCAGGTCTCATGGAAGGATTAAACAAAATGGATAAGAAACCACACATGTTATATTCAGATGAGGAAGGCAGTTTATACAGTAAACCCATAATGGAGTATCTGGAGGACGAAAAAATTGAGATTCATAGAACTCGTGGACATCCAGCGTTTGCAGAACGCTTCATTAAAACCTACAAAGATAAGTTGTTCAAGCGCGTTGAAGCGGATAAGAAAAAAGGTAAGGAAAATATTCAATGGACTGATTATAACTTTGAAATACTGTTGACATATAATAATAAAGATATACATTCATCCCATAATCTGACTCCAAAGGATGCACGTTTACCAAAAAATGAACTGAAAGCAAAACTGATTTTAAGCATAAACGCAAAGCGTAGCAGAACATACCCCGAGATAGACGAAGGCGACAACGTCAAGATAATGAGAAAGAAAGGTATAAGCGAGAAAGAACATACATCACACTGGAATAAAACAATCCATAAAGTCACTAAGATTGAGAAGAAATTAGGACAAAAATATTATCATTTGGACGATGAGAATAGGTCATACTTGCGACATGAGTTGTTGAAGGTTTCTTAAGAAACACACTTAACGAAATAGCAACTTAATATATTAACATAAAAATACTAAGCAAATACTATTAAAATATTCATGTTACTCGTGTTTTGTATGCCCTAGACCCTAAATCTTCAGTACCTTAGTTGTTTTATGTTGGTTTTTGATTGTAAACAGCATTTTGGTTCACTAGAGTAAAACTACTAAGCAAATACTATGAACATATTCATGTTATTTGTGTTTTGTATCTTTTCATGCCCCTAAATCTTCAGTACCTTACTTTTCGTATTTTGTTTTTTGATTGTTTTCTTGTTTTATAAAACTTTTGAACGCGAAGCTTCGCGTGGCTACGCGAACCCAAACGCCTTAGGGTTTTATAGGGATTTAGGGAGGAAACCCTAAAAACCACAACCTAAACCCAAATCCTAAACCCTAAAAGCGCCAAGCACCTTCTGAGGCCGTCGCGGTGCTTTGACTGTTAAACAGTCGGGTTTCCCCTGCGTCCGCTTCGATTGACTCACACAGCCAACCCCTTTCCCGAAGTGGGAACCCCGAAACCTAAACAAAAAACCACCTTCAAGAAGTTGTCGCAGTCAATGTCATTCTGGTAGACGTTCACCTGGCGGGAGCTAAGTCGTGCTTTTCGGGGTAAGGGTTTGGGTCATACAGGGACATACTTAGCCCTCCCGGCACTGCTGCAGCTCAACCTGCTTTTTGCTTTCTGGGTGGTTTTTGCTTCGGACACCGTGCCCTGTGTGGCCTGTTCATGGTGTCAGACGGCTTCTACTTGACCCAGAGCTCATCTGGGACAGGAAGGGACGCTTCATCCCACGTCGTCATTGGGTCGGCACTCATCGCGCTGATCTCGCGCTCGATGGTATCCACTGTCGCGCCCAGTTTGGCGAAGCGCTTCGCCTTGGCCTGAATCGTCTTCCGACGATACGTTTGGATGTACTCTAGAGCCTCTCCTTCTTCAGCCATGTCTTCCAGGTCGCATACAAGGCCGTTGCACTCGACAATGATGTCTGCAAGTTCATGTCCCACCAAGTTGAACGCGATGCTGCTTGGCTTTCGAAGCTCCTCCTATCATGACGGGATACGACCACCAGATGAGACCCACAAACCAACACATGCCCAACCCCAAGCAAAACAATCTACCTACCAGTGCCCAAGTGTGTATATGAGCTTTCTAGCCAGTCCTCGGTGCCAAAATTGTTGCCTTCGCCTCCAGGCCATACTTGGTCGATGCTCATGCCATCACCGAGAGGCGTGGGGAACTGCACGTGTTTTTTGGTGTGTCCGTGCCAGATGCTCCTCTGGTAGTTCGGCAGAAAGTGCATCTGGACAAAGTCGGAGAAGATGGGTCGGTTGTAAGCGATGCCACCTGTATTTACTACTACCGGCACGGTGTAGTACTTCTCATTCGCAATTAATGTCCGGATCTGCCAATTCTTGCCATTGAAGAAATGTATCTTGCTGGCGTAGAATGCCTTGGTCTCCTTCAAGTACAGCTCGCTCAAAGGCGGGCAAAGGCTTTTGTTCAGGAAAAGAGCATCCAAGTTCGTCTCGATCATGGGCATCTGAGCAACCTGCACGACCTTCCGGCTCAGGTTGAGCCTCATGCGGTGGGCAACCATCTTCCCAAGTCTTGTGGGAAGCATCGTGACTGGCTATGCGCTGCTGGTCTCATCTCTGTCAAGCCGAATTGTCTTCGGACACAAGCTGCATGATGCGACGTCAAGAGGCAGGAGAGCAACGCATGACACAGCATCTGGATGCGCCGACAAGCAGAAAACATGCAGAGCAGACCTTGATCAGCGTCCCACCATCCGCGCGGACAGGGGCGGAAAATGACAGACCCCCGACCCATACTATGCTCCATAAAATGAACAAACCTAACCTTGCCCATTTCGGGATGTTACATCACCTGAGAAATAGGATGAGATAGAGTATTTTACGGATAATGAGCTACTAGTTGCGATTTATATGTTCACGGTGATGTAATATCACAAACTGGGCGACCCCATTGCCTTGTCCATTTTGGATAATTGCACCTTATTTTCTATATGGTAAAGTGTTTTAGGATATTATGGCTATGATCTGGGCCATGGTGGTGCAATTACCCAAAATGGGCAAGGCCCCCCCTGACTGTATGGCCTGGCTTTTGGGGATTCAGGCTTCGGGCTCATGTGGTTTGGGATGAGGATCAAAATCTGAAATCGAAATCCTACCCTGAATTCCATGAAGTCCATGAATTCCATGAACCCAAGCAACTTAAAACCACTAACCTACAAAAACCAGAAAGCCAGGAACGATCTCCATTCTGGCAAGTGGCGGGTCCTCCAGGTATGGCTGGTCGGGGTACTTCTCGTTAAACTTGTCCAGCACACGGTTGATGCGCCTCAACCAAACCCCACATGCTAAGCCTGACACCAATCTCTTCAAGTGCTACGTGCCTTAGGGGATCAACTCACGGAACAGCCCCGTCTACTTCCCCAACTTCCGAACTCAGGTTTTGTCAGAAAGGGCCAGCAGTCTGAACGAGAGCCACACATCGAGAAGACGGATCGTGGCTGACGGTGGTTACAAAAGAAAGACGTTGAAGCGGGGTGAGGCGGGGCGGGGGGTGGCGGGACGGCAGGACCCAAGCCCCTAAAACCCGAAACTCACAAAACCCACCGCCACAATACCTTGGGGGGGGGTGCCAGCCCTGGATCATGTATTCTCATGTCTTCGCAAAACGAGATTTGAGCAAGCTTCCCCCCGGCCTCTGGTTGGCTTCCGTGGAGTTCTTGTCGTCCCAGAAGTGCATCTTCTTGCCCTCGACACAAGCTGTGTGAAACCAATGCACTCGCTGGAGCCTTTGCAAGCCTTTGAAATGCCTTTGAAAAGCCTTTCAAAGCCTGAATCCTAAACTCGAACCGTCGTAGGCCTACTGCGGAGCGGCAACGAACCACCAAAAAACAAAGCACTACCAGGAATAAGCATACGCCCCTGAACACGTCACCCTGCAATCCCCTCCGTCCAACGGAGCGCCGAATGCTCGCCTTGTCCGAGCTCCGGCTGTACTCGTAGCCGCCGGACTTCATGAGTGCGCCGAAACTTGGGATTCCTAGAGGGCGGAGACTTCGGACGACTTTCCAAAAACCCTGAAGACCTGAACCCCGCCAAAACTACACAGCCCTAAACGCTAAACCCTAAACCCTACTTCTGCAACCTTGCCTTCAAGCTCGTCGATGGAGATCTCGCCCACCTTCTCGTACGTGTAGGTGCAGTCAAATGCACCCGTTGGCTCGCCACCTGGTGCAGGGCACTTAATGTGCCCTTTGGCCCTTGGGTCGCGCATGTGACCTTTTTGAAGTTTAAGTCTTTGAGCGTTTTACTACTCTAGAATCTTTTATGAGGTATACCATTCAGATCTCTTCGATCAGGCTCAGCCAAGTTCAGTCAGGTCACCATGCTTGCAGGCTCCACTCGGCTCCTTCTTTTCACAGGCGTGCGTCTTGCCCCAGAACCTGGCTCCACCCAGCAGTGCCGATTTAGGGTTCGGGTTTGTTAGGTTTCTTAAGCTTAGGCCTCTCGTTTTGGGCTTCATATATCCTGTTCAAGTCCCTGGCAACGTTGCCTCGATGGATACTACGCAAACAAGTGGACTAAGTAGACCTTCACCCTTCCAAGACATCCCTTCGTGTCCAAAAGTGCCTCGATGGGGGCGGTTTCAAGATGCTTTAAGGGTTTAAGGGGGTTTGCCGGCAGATCCATACATTGACATCCCATTGTGGCCAAAAATTTAGGGGCTCAGGCTGGACTCGCTGCCCTTGTCTACGAAGATGAGGGACCCTAATATAGTCCCCCAAACAATAGGATTCCCGTTATACTCAGGACCCCAGTAAGGTACCCCTAACGGAAACCCCTGATGTGACTTGCAGATAGAACGGAAGCCGAGGGCAGGGCTTCTGGGATGAGCACACGCCCGGCAAGCTGTACCACATGGCATCTGGGCATTGTGACATGGAGCCACTAAGAGTGCTTAGGCCCCACAACTTGGAGCCCTGCTAACCGCAAGACATGAGACATGTACACGAGTGCTCCGCCTTCTTCGCAAGCAGGCCCCCCTACAGGATTGTAGAAGCCGAGATGTGGAGCCTGGAACCCAATCAATGCCTGAGCTCCCGGCTGGGATACTTCACCAGACCCATCCTGGGGATGGAGGGAGACTAGCCTTCTTCCGGGTACGAGACTCAAAAGGAGGCCTCACACACACCTGGGGCTTCAGAGCTTGCAGGCCTGAGCCTCGTGAGGTTGAGAGAGCTTGCATCCGAGCAGCCACTGTTTGTGTGGAAAGTGGTTGTTCTCGCCCTTGTTCCAAGACTCACAGCCGACCTCGGCAACACGATGATTTGGGATGTTCCCCCTTCTACTAACAGTCCTTCATGGGGATTATCATAGGGGTACCATGATCCCTTTTAAGGATTGTGAGTATAAGGGGGAGCATCCCAGTCGATGCTAACTAACTCGTTCCAGCTGTTTCCTGCTGAGCCTGCCATCGTCATTGTTGGGCGTGAGGGGGCTTCGGGGCTAGCGATCCTTAGATGTCGTACCCACCAAACATGAAGGTTTCAGCACAAGCATCAGAGTTGCAGAACAACCTAAAATTCTTCAGACCCCAACCCATCTGCGAGGTCACCACATGGCAGCCACTCCCAAACCCGAGCTTGTTGGGCTGGTGTTTGTGCATTGCGGAGCCGGATCTACTTAGCCCTTGGTCGCCGGCAACCGGGCCGAAGTGCTGGAGATTCTCGCACCCAAAGGGGCCTCGGAAGATTCGGGTCCGGCTGTGGGGTTTGGGGTTCAGGGTTCAGGGTTCAGGGTTTAGGGTTTAGGGTTTAGGGTTTAGGGTTTAGGGTTTAGGGTTTAGGGTTTAGGGTTTAGGGTTTAGGGTTTAGGGTTTAGGGTTTAGGGTTTAGGGTTTAGGGTTTAGGGTCCAGGGTTTTTTTAGGGTTTAGGGGAAACTTCAGGAGTTCATGGAGGGCTGGTTCGTGGGCATGGCCTCCAAAAGGTGGGACTTTACATTGCAACACACATGCAGAACACAGACTTCGTTGTCCAACACGCAATTTGGCAGCCTTCACGGCCTTTAGCAAGCTGCAAACACAGCACATTCAGCATTTGAGGCCATTCAGAAGCTCGACACGCTGCAAGCTGCCAAACTTCCTGCTGAGAAGTTGATCCGCATGCTGCAAATCACAACATTTCCATGTGTTGAGCAGCTGAAAAATAGCGCTGTGAGCTGCAAGCTGCGTTTCGTACAAACGAGCCATTCTTGAAACGTGCTGATTTACTGGCTGTGCACAAGCACCTTTTCCTATGATTCTAACCATATTAATGTGTTAGACATCCTCAAATTGCCAGTACTTCTGGCGGATCACTCTGCTCAGGGCACAAAGTGGAGGGTTCGAATAACTTGCTAGCCTGTATAAGCACAGCACAAGTTGCTAAAATTGATACTGACACTCCCTCGTTAACACACCGCAATGGCCCGGGAAGCTCCCAAAAGCAAAGGTGTAAGACCCGAGCCAGTGCACTTGCCGAGGTCGTACACATTGACGACTCCGAAGTTCCTCAGATTTGTGGGAACTCGGCACGAATCCGCGCGGGGTGTTCTGAAACCTGTCGCCACGTCCCACCGTACAAGTGAGCCCATAACCAAGCCTCAACTTGATCCAGGCTCCTGCGAGGCTCCTGGAGCTTCCTCTTTGGCAGATAGTACAACCCATCACAACCCCAAACTCTGAATAGAATCTCATTGTCAGATATTGTCAGTCCGTGAATGACTGTCCTGACGATTGGTCTATAGGCCTCTTGGGTTTCTTGTTTGACAGAGCAGTAGCCTGTGCTGATTGCGTTTGCCAATAGAAAGCAGAGCTCGAATGTATTATTGTTAAATGTGTGTTGCTGCCCTGCTTATAGATGTCAAATCACTCGACCATTTTCCAGATCGTGAGAAAGGAGTTTTGGGCAGTATGGATTGGGGCGAGGCAACCCTTAACAGCATACTGCACCTGCAGGACAGATGTCTCACGCAGGCTCACGCAGACAAATCCTTTCCCAAGCCTTGATCATATGGCAGCCTGAACCCTACGCTTCTACACTTCCCAAGCCTTGAAGGAGAAACCTTGACATTCTCCGCAACCATACTAGCGGTCCTTAATGGAGACTATAGTAACCCTTAGTATAATCCCGATTAAGGATTGTGAGTATAAGGGGGAACATCCCAAGACAAAAAGCCTGCAACCATAAGAGGTCACAGGCTCATCCCGAGGCGATGGAGCCTCGGAGTCTGCTCTCTTATGATTTCGGGCGTGGAAATCTCAAGGGGCTTCGAACTGGGTGGATACCAGGGGTGTTGAACTTCGGCCGCTGGGGCTCTGTGATCAGGATGGCTCAGGGCGTAGGATGGTGTAGGTATTTTTGTTGGGGAAGGTTTGGGGCCTGGAAGCGACTCGGGGGTGCGCACGTGGTCGGCACAGACTGCGCAGGGCCAGTCGCCACCTTCCCTCAACCCCCAATGATTTCAAGCCAATGCTGCTGCCCTCCCCCCCCTCCCCAGGAAGCTATAGAAACAAAAGGGCCTGAATGGCGTGGATGAAAACAGGCTGGGACAGGATGGGACTTAGGACTGGGCTTTCAGTTTGCATAGTTGGGCATGTTTCGACTACACGCTGAAGATTTTTCATCCCAGTACCACCATGCAGTCGACACAGGAGGAGTTCGACTCCAAACTCTCAGGCTAGATGTTGCAGATCAATCGTCTGAGTGAGAAAACTCAACCCTTAACGAACAGACCCAGAGCACTACCACGGCACCGCGTCGGAATGAAGCTGAAATCGGCTGGATCTTTCGGGGGGGCAGGCCATGCCTCACGTATCCAGGCTTCCCGGCGCGCAAGTGGCGCGAGTTTGCACGCGATAGCGCTCGATGCGTGTTTTGGGGATGCTGGAGTAGCTGCCGACCTGGGGGCAGAGTTGGGGCTGGGCGGGGGCTTGGGCGGACAGGTTCGCAAGGCATCTACTTCATCAGGGCTTCGAGAGGCCTGGTCGTAGGGTCAAGGGACTCAATGGACAAAGACGCATTTGCGGGTTTACGAAAGTAAAGGACCCCGAATTTTGAGCCCAAATAGTAGGATTCCCTTATAATCAGGACCCCCAAAAGGTACCCCTGATATCGCAAACCCCCATGTAAGGGTGCAGCATAGACTGAGATTTTGCAACGCAGACTAAAAGCCACCATCCTGAGGCCTGCATGGGGATTAGCTTTCGGCTCGAGGCTTCGAGCCGCTATTCCTAAGAACACTGGATGCAGAGGCGCTCCACGGAAAGAGGCGCGAAACCGCCATTGAAAGTCAAGCAACCGAAAACCCGCATGCAAGATGTGACAAATCAACTCGTGGTGTGAAAAACATGGTCGTGGTAAGTACAAAGGCACGATTTGAATCAGTGTAAGAAACTAAGAAACAAGCTGTTGTAAGCTGTTGTGATACCACCTTCGTGTGACTTCCTTCCTGGCTCAACAAACGAGTGACACACTGAAAGCCACTAGTCCTTTGAAACACCTTCACCACCACACCACCACCAACCTCTCTGTCCTTCATTGCACAACGGCCAGCTTAGAATATATGGTCCAAGGAAATCCTCCGAATCCAACACGACCCATGCCACTCCATGCACTGTTCAAGCTCGTCACGGAGGAGTACTTAAAGGGTACTGTTGAGCTTCGCACGCGAAGATAGTGATGCCAGATAATCTCGTTGTGCAAATACCACAGGCAGCCACCTTCGTCGAAGGGATCCGGTTCAAAAAGTGGGTGTGTTGTTTCCAGTGTTCGGGCTCCGCCGAAACCCCCACCCCCTGACGATCCTTGCGGCACTGTTTCAGGCTTCTGTGACCCCAGGGCTTGCGGCTTAGGTTCGGGTGCAGGCGGCGCACAGGGTATATACAAGGTGTTGGGCTTAGACTCCGGGCTTGAAAATGCAGAAAAAAAGGACCCGAATAGTTGTTGCAGCCTAGAACACAGAGAGACACTTGTGATCAGAAGAGCCGAACTTCACTCGTAACCAGCCAAGCCTACGTTGGCCATGTCCTGATTCACAGGCTGGTAGTCCTCGTCTGTCTGGGCGCGGTACCTCGGTACACAAGCACCCCAAAGTGCAGGGGTTTGATGCCTTAGGGTCGGAGGCTCGTGGATCCCTGCGCCAACAAGTTTGGACGAAGCCCCAAGCTCGATCAAGCTCCAGCCGTGAACGAAGCCGTGAAGCCGCAACATCCCGTAACGTCAACACAGGTGGCA